GGACCAACATTCCACAGGCCACAATCAACAACCTGATCAACTCTATGCGAAGGAGATGTGTTGCACTGCGTGAGGCAAATGGTGGTCATGTAATGGGGAAAAGAAATTTGTAATGAATTGTGCCAAAATGATTGTTCATATTGCAAAATAATTCTAAGATATTAATTGAATAGAATGTATTAAATGCATCTAAAAGAAAGGGATATGGGGACACCTACAGGTGACTAAGGAAACCTATCAGTGGAATCGGCCATTTTCTCCTCAGTCGCATGAAAGCCGTTGAGGAGAATGGTAGGTATAAAATCTCTCTCCGGTCTAACAAAAATAAAATGTTGTCAGAGATGATTTTATTTCTCTTTAAGGTCAAAATTGTTCTTTTAAAAGTATTTCATTTCATATTTGAGTCATAAGAGATATAGAGTTGACGGATAATTGATGGTTTATACCGAACTCACTGTTGAGTGCATTAGGAGCACATGGTATTCATTGTGTTTCTGCCTCTGTATTTTCTCATTGCTTATTTTCACATGTATATTTATTTTTGACAGTTATGAGACCGGATGAGCTGTATTTCATGTCTGTTTGGTGTCATTTCATATATTCCAGGTATGATGTACTAATGTTCTTATGATGTTATATTTTCTATGTTCAGAAAACAACAGAAAAAGAAATTGAGCTCTTAATTATGGAAAAACTGATTTATTGTTTGTTGAACTGGTGAAAAAGTCGCATGAAAGCCGTTGAGGAGAATGTTATGAGACCGGATGAGCTGTATTTCATGTCTGTTTGGTGTCATTTCAACACCTATGAAGAGATGACGCCAACCCTTGAGAGGACTTCAGATGAAGCGAACTCTGAATAAACATACAAAACTGCTAAATTTTCCTTGCATTGTAATCAACATGATCACATCATGTAACCATGCTTTAATTTGTTCATTGTTTCTGAATACATGACGTTACTTAACTGCATGATTTGTATAGCCTAATTTTAGAACATTTCTGCCATATGAACATTACTTTGACACAGTTACACCTGTTAACAGAACTCTTATTTGTAATGTAGAAACATTCATTTTCTATAAAGCATAAATTCACACTCCTTTCTGTGAGCGACTGGAAATGCCCTGT